TTAAAATAAACTCTTGTTTTGCTTCCAAACAGTGAGAACAAAAGTCAGTGTTAGAGACAAAAAAACTGCAGATGCTGGAATCGAAGGTAGACAAACAGGAGGCTGGAAGAACACAGCAGGCCTGGCAGCAACAAGTCAGTATAAAATCAGCACTCTGATGTTGCTGTTCATTATTCTATTGAGCCTCAGGATTACGCTGTCCCTGATGTCTATCTATAAACAACAACACTGTTAACTGCACTTGTTATAAGCATGAGAAGAATTTTATCCTGCTCAGTCTGGGAAGAATTCAATGTTTGGCATACTCCACACTGAGAATGTGGTCTCAGCTCTGCAAGGATTAGACTGTAACTGCCTTGGAACATATCAAATTTTATCTTTGATGTTAGTATGGAGCTGACAATGCCATTCATTTATCAATTGATATTATCTATGGTGCTCTGCCGGATCAGTGTAATGGCTGAGCCAGAGTAGCACCATCCTGGGTGTAGCTGCTACAATTCCCCTCGACAGCTTTGAGGAGAGAGAAGAAAGCCTGAATCTGTGACTCTTGCAAGTGAAATAGATGTTTGGACAACAGGTGAAGATAGGATCAGGCTTGGTTGTAATTCCCTGGTAGAATAACTGATTGATTTTCAGAAGTTAATTATTAATTAAAGTCAATTGGACACCAGAAGGTGACTAATGCCCAGGAAACCATAATCCAGCAAGAAATCAGCACCTTCAAGAGAAAAAGGGTGGCAAGGGGTGATATATAACAATGATAATAATACTTTTTTGTCCCCAACGGGCACACAGATAAAGTTTACCCACCTTCGTAAGCATCATCAACATTTCTACAATGCTCAAACGTACTCAAAATAGATTTTCAGGAAAGATTTCTCACTTGCATTTATATAACACCTATCACAACTGAAGCTGTATCATAACCAATAAGACACTTTTGAACTGTAGTCACTGTTGTAATGCAAGGAATGCAACAGCTAAATTGTACAGAACAGGCTTTGACAGACAACAATGTGATAATTATTAGATAATCTGTTTCGAGATTATAACTGGGGGTTAAGTATTGGCCAGGATGCCAGAAATTGCTTACTTGATGTTCTTCAAAACAGTGGTGTGAAATCTTTTATGTTCACATAACAGAGCAGACTCGTTTTGAGTTAACATTTCATCTGAAATACAGTACCTCCAACCCCCAGTAGGGTTTGAACTCTCAACTGTCTGACTTAAAGCAAGAGTGTTATCAACTGATTGACTGCTGATATTTACCAATAAAACAAATATCCAAATTTCCCTCTGGAGTTGTATTTGAACTCTGCCTCCGTATGTTTGGTGAGGGGGGGGTAATTAGCTGATCTAGTGTCCTAGCCTCAGTTTTTGAGGCCCAGCACAGTATCTAGGCACAGTTTCTGTGCCTAATCTTGACACTCAGTCTCATAGTGGGGCTAGGTTTTATCTAGGAGGACAAACAGTATCAAGATATCAGTTGTGTCTGATCTTCATCATTAACTCCGCTGTTAGCGATATCCAGAGTGCCCTACTGTGGTGGAATGTAAAAACTGCAAATGCTATTAATTATCTTAGCTGTAAACAATTAATTTTTAACCAGAATCTGACTTGACATTTCTTAGAAATATTTCAGTGTGAATGCAATCTTATTGTATTCTATTGATTAACACATCATCAACAAAGGAATAGTTTACTTTAGCACATAACAACGATTGCATTTATACAGTGCCCTCATACGTTGAAAAATCTCAATGCACTTTGTGGCAACTTAATCAGGTTAAAATGGTGCAAAACTTTAAAAGAAGACAATACAGTTGACCAAACTTGTTGAAGGGCAGGAGTTTAAAGGAGGGAGAAGGAGTGGCAGAATGTTTTAGGGAGGTAAATCCAGACAGAGGAATCTAAAGGGTTCAAAACATTGGGAGGCTGTATTGCACAGAAGACTAGAGTCTGAGGAACTTGGTGTTCTGAGGTGAATTATTTGATCTGAGGGAAGACAAAGGCCATGAAGGGATTGAGACACAGCATGAACTTTTTAACTAAAGGGATGAGGGAATTTTAGGGTCAATGTAGTTCAATAAAGTCAGGAGTGACCTGAGAGCTGCACTTGTTGAAGGACAGAACCACAGACATGGCTTGGTCCTATGCTGTACTGTTCTATGTTCTAATACCACAGACTTTCAAATCAGCTCGAGATTACAGGAGTCCAGTTTGGGAACATTGCAGTAAGTGCATCTGGAGGTGACAAAGGAAGTGGTAGAAGTTTTAGTACAAGATGAGCGAAGAAAGAATCGAGGCGTGCAATGTCAATATGGGTGATTTTTGTGATTTAAAGGCCACAGTTCTTTCTTTAACATTTGTATTTGAATTCCGTCTTAGGAAGCTTTGACTTAAGGAAGGGGAGTCTAGAGTGGTGGTGGAATATTTTCCACTCAGTAGGCCACCAATCTTTACCCAAAAAGTAATGAGAAATGTATCGTTTTTTCAAAAATCTGTACCTCAGTAACAGTGAATCAGTTCATCCAAGCTACGGGTGTTCCAAGTCAACAGGGAATGAGTGATTCAGACTGGCTGGAGCCCAGTCATATCTACCAACTTCAGAAATGTCTCCAGTCTCTAACTGACCGCCCTTTATTTGGTTGTTGGGTTCAGTTCAGATCAGTGGCAAGTTTAATAAAGTAGGTATTTCTCCATTTTAAAAATTTTTGACATTATTGTGCTACATATGTCAAAGATCACTACTATTCCATAGCTGAGGCACTTAAGAGTAAGATTTCATTGTGGATCCTCCTTCAGCATTAAAAAAAAACAATTTTGTTCGGTTCCATATATTTAAGTTAAACTTGCAAATTCTCATATCTAAATTTTCTCATTCAGCAGCCACAACAGTTAGTTCGATCAAGGAGTGGATTCAGTTGGTTGTTTAAAGTACATCAACTTTTTGAGGAGATCTCTAGTTTAACTTATATTAGCAAAGTGTGCAGCAACATGGAATGTCACTGCAACTGGGACTCAAACAAGGAAAGCAAAAGATATGCACATACATACATAAAACACGGGAGTCGTTTGAAAAGGACAAGTGACATCAGAGCAATAGTGTAAGGAGAAAAGCATCATGGTGATTTGTGTCTGATATTGCAGAACTGATGCTCAGTCCTGAGCTGCACTATAATGCTTTTATCCATACAATGCTGCTTATTGTTATGTATCCCACACTGACACTCCTCCTTGACAAATTATGTAGAAACGTGTTGAGGGACAGATACATGATACAGAATGACTAATTCACTAAAACATCAATTTCAGCAAACTGATTTTCAAGAAAGAATGAGAATGGAGGCTCGCAAAATCACTGTGTGAACAGGATGATTAATTGCTCAGCTGACATCAACACAAAATCAAATGATCCTGTCGGTCTCAGACAGAACAATGAGCTAAATGATAGAATCTGCATACAGTGACAGAATCCAATTGGTCACAGGGCAATCACATGAGCAGCAAGACGCCACATGCAAAGAAGCAGGAAAATGATGGACACACAGGGTCACATCTGTCATGGACAAAGCCACAGCAACAGCAGCAGCAGACAGCTCATTTCGGCCAGAAAGCATAAACAAACACAAATTATTTGATTTGTTTAAAAAAAAGTCTTTTTACTAAATTTTAATTAACAAAGTTTCACAAGGACAAATATGGAAAGAACCCACGGCAATTGCCATATCATGCAAAACCATTGATAGTCATACCTTGGCTCATTCTAGTCATCCTTGTAGCACTTTAGAGAAAAAGTAAGTAAATATTCTAGGTAAGTTTACAATTTTCTTAAACTATCACATTTTGGACTCAGCACTTTCACTGACACTGTCTTATACAATATTAAAATTTCCTGTAAACGAGAGTGCCAGTGCAAGTCTACTTTGGTTAGTAGTTTTCTTTTAACCATAACGCACACCCACTAGCAAGCCCATGCTATGAGATAGTGGTATAGTGTAAACATTATTTTAGGAAAGTATTACCAAACGGGGGAAATATAAAGTCATCTTACAAATATTGGCTTCCTAAATAAAAATGCATTCCCACACAGAAAGCAAATGTCCTGCTTCTATGAAAAATCAACAAATCAGCAAATGCCAATTGTATTTATGACAGTCACACAAAGAAGCATGTTTAACTGTCTTTGTGAGTACAAACTGTAGTATGCAATGGCTACTGTATAAAAGTGCCTGACAGACTATTTTCTTTTCTTTACTTCTTTCTGCCAAAATTCACATCATTCAACCATCCCAGAAAAACATGACTGACTATTTACCTTAGGAAATATAAACTTAATTTTTTAAAAAAATAGTGACATTGATTCTTTGGGGGCACAAAAATAGTTGACAATTTAATAGTCAAATCAAGGAAATAGAGAATGCTTTGCATGTTTCAATAAATTCTATTCATCCCCTCTGTCCCCCACCAAAGCTCTTTCAGCTGTGTTTTTGCTAATATGAATATGCTATTGAATTGGTGACAATGCAGAAATGATATGAATTTAAAATTCTCTGTCCTTACTACTATTAAGAGGACAATAGTAATTTTTCTTAGGAGTTGCCTATTTGGATATAAGTAATTTTCAGTTTAAGATAATTATAAGAATCTTACCCTTTTCTGTACTCTTAATGCTGTGCATTAAATAATTACTATTATTATGCTCTGTGTAAAGTAACAAACATTAAGTAACTATATGATTTAAATATAAGTGTGCCAGTAGTTGTTGCTCAGAGTAACTGGTGTTGGTAATGATTGGTTTTTAGATCCATCTGGTTTGTTGCTGTTGTGCTGTGGGAGATGAACGATGAAATCTGTTGACAAACACATGCATACACACAAACATGTGCAGACATTTGTGATACAGTCCGTGACAAAGGGAAGCTCTGCACTGGGGAATGGACAGAGGTGAAAATTCACAAACAGTTTTTCATCAGACAGCAGGGTCAAGCACATACTTCTGCTTTTCCCGGGGATCCCGAGTCTTGTTGCGGTTTGGACGGTTGGTGGTGGTTGGGATGGAGTGCACAGACGAGCTTTTCTTACTGGAAGTGTGTGAGGAATGAGACGAGTGCGACAAGCTGCCACGAGATTGGCCAGCATTATGGTCAAATTGCATCAAACAGAAGATCACATCCGTTGAGACTAGTTCGAATTCATAATGTGGATTAGCAATCACGTATCTGAAGAGGAAGAAGAAATATAAATGAACCATGTAAATTGTCCAAGGGATTGGTACATTATGATGCACGTAAGGGCCACAGTATTGCATACCCATTTCAAAATTTTTTGCTTTTGTCTAAAGTTGCAACATGGAGATAAAACTTACATCAAGATGCAATGCTCAGAAACATCATTGTATTAATTGTGTATGATGGTATCCCAATTGCAATATGGTAACTTGGGCAGGATTGGTTAGGACAGTAGTTTTATATCCCAACTGATATTATTCCCCATTGATTTTCTTTATGCAATGTAACTTCAGCTTCATGGTGTTAGCTGTAGGGCAGCTATAAACCAAAATTACCATATTTACCTAATAACTCTGCGAATGGAGTGCACAGTTGGACAGGATTTTTGAGCTGTGATGGGTTGGTCAAATTAGGTCAAAATTGCCCACCAAAGTTTCCATAAGCTGCTTCACGTTAGGAAAGTGAGAATGCACACAATCCATTACTCGACTACTGTACTTAGAAATGATCATCTGTCTGTGTGACAATCTTTGATCCCGGAGCAAGGAAAAGGTGCAATTTCTTTAAAACAGCTATATTTGTAAAAATATCCACAGAATGTGGAGATGTTTTTCATGATGGTTGGAAGAGTGTTTTTTTTTAAAAGGTTGCACTATTGTTGAGTAATCAATTTTAATTTTCTTGAATAATAAGAAATACTAGCCCGTGTAAACTGGAATCCTTACACTGAAAGCAGTATCAGCAAAAAAGGAAGTTAAGATTTAGAAGCCATGTGGGCCAAGGCAATGAAGAGTTGCAGCAGGGCAAACATTAGAAAGGCACATTTGTAAGGAACAATGTGTGCAATGCAGTTAGAAAGGTCAAAAATCATAGAATCATAAAATCTCAGTGTGGAAGCAGGCCATTCGGCCCATCGGATTTGCACCAACCCTCCAAAGTACATCCCACCCAGACCCACCCCCTACCCTATTCCCATAACCTATAAAAGCTGAAGACAGAATTAGAACAGTGATTGAGAGTTGGTAAATTGTATGTATATGCTTTTCAGAGCTGCACAGACTATTTAAAAAGGAACTAGTATTGGAGTCACTTGGGATTATATAACATCAAGTCTTAAATTCAGCTCTGGAAGAGTGTTTTTTGGGTAATGACTATACCATTGGATGGAATAGTCAGTGACTCAAAGACCAAGTCTAGTGAATGAGGAAAGTGAAAGATTCTATGTTCCAGACGCAGAGTGGGAATGACTAAGAAATTGTATATAGTGTCAGAACTATGCAGTAAGTGATAAAAGTATTCATCATCTGCTACCACAACTGCACAGAAAATGATAAAGATGTTTGGAATCTAGTGAATAGTCTTTGTTGTAACGACTATTTCATATGCAATTCATAGTTCACAACTAAACTTGCCTGTTAATTTACGCTAAAGTAAAAACTACACAAAGTGGAATCTTATTAGGGTGTAATTTCTTCATTTATGGGTCATGAGATAAATTTGGTAATTTCGGGTTACAGTTGCTCTACAGGGCTCATAACACCATGAAGCTAAAGTTACATAGCATAAAGAAATTCAATTTAATTCAGAACCTTTTAAGCAGTATTGCATCACCGTGATATACTTGCAGTTTATGTGAACACTGAAGAACACAGAACATGTGGGAAAATTAATAAATGAAGGAACTGCAAGGCTCTTCAGAGTGCATCAAGTACATAACAGGACAAAGGCTGGAACTTTGTTTTTGTCAGAGTGATATGTTTAACAGGTAATTTGTGCAGAATGCCTGAAAAAGATAATCGAATCTGAAAAGAAACCTCCCCTAAATGCTGTGTAATAACATTAGTTAGACCTCACTGAAACTGACAATGTTTATACTTATACAGAAAGCAACACTTCAAACATTGTGACAATAACGTCTCCTTCACTTTCAACTTTATTTGGGACAGAAAGCAAGAGAGCCTTTTTTGGGGAGTATCTCCAGTAATCGATGCAGTGTTGACCACAACCTATCTTTTGGTTTTAGATGGAAAAAAAGAGTTAACGTTTCAGATCCAGTGACTCTTCCAAAGAACAGTCACCTAGACTCAAAACGTTAGCTTATTCTCTCTGCATGGATGGTGTCTGACCCGCTGTGATCTCTGGCAATTGTTTTCGGTATAGGTTCTGCGTACTTTGCTCCTACTTATAATCTCATCGGTTGAATTTTAATCACTAAGAGGGCTGGGGCAGATGGGAAGGTAAAAAGGCATTAAATTCTCAAACTTCTGGTTTTCGTGTTGGCAGATTGGAGGGTGAACAAACAAGCTTCTCTGAGGAAGCAGAATACTTACTAAAATCTTGCCTCTATTTTTAATGTTAATAATGCATTGTGGCCTAGGATTGCTGGCAAGTATAACGATGCAGGAAAGGATTAAACCATGCTATATCCATCTGTATTGCACTGTTTGTGGAAGTGAAGGGCCAGGAGTGAATCCATTAGGCCCAACGACCTAACAGACAACTGGAACTCCATAATGTTGATACCTACACCTGGTGATCTCTGAAGCCCCTTACAATGTCAGAATGTCATTCCAGCTAGTGTCCTTGGAAACCAGTTCAAAAAGATGTCAGCAGCTTCTTCCCACTAAATTTAGCAGGTCCTGCAGGAAACCCTTACGTTTGGGTTTTCAGTCAAAGATTCTCACTCACCTGCATTCAGCACAGCTTTGAGCAACTATCAAGAACATCAGAGACATATCGAGTAGCTACACCCATTACATTTAGTTCTTTTATCTAATAACAAATGGCAAAACAAACTAAAACCTGTTGCTGGGAACATGCACTGTTGTGGCAGCAAGGAAACCTCCAGGTTTTACTGCTCCAGTAGCTGTTTCCACAAACTAGTCTTGCTTTTGAATTAGAACAAGCCTCTACAATTCTGGCATTCTTAGTCATTATCGTTTGAACTGACCATGTTTGTTATTAGAGTATAGAGTATAATTCGTGATGTTGCATCAACAGAAGACACAGTCTGTCTGACAGGAACTCCACCAATTGGGCACTGATTATTGGGCCTGATGAAGAAAGCCAGAGCTCAACAAGGAAGGCACCACAAAAGGTAATTATACCTACAGTTCCAGTTGTGTCCATCTCTGCATGCAAATCCTTCCTGCTTCGCTGCTCCAGAGTCCAACACTCTGCTCGTTTCAACCTACACATACTATATAATGTAATTTGCTTCTGAGAAACCAGATCTGCCTGAGATTTAAATGATCGCAGGCCAGTCTTTGTACTTAATAAATGGTCTTTATTACAAGTCATTCAGAAGTTACAACTTTAGGGCTGTGAACTTAAACATGGCCTTAATGGAGGAGGTGCCCATATGTAAAGTGGTGGGTAAAATGGCTTACGCACAAAGCTTTGTTTTAGCCAAGATAATCTCAGAGGTCACATGGCCATAGAAACCAAAGAACACAAAAGGCATAAATGCATAAAGGCACATCCATAAAAAGAAAGGAAAAATGTTGAAGGTTACCCACACACACTGTTTAAAAAGAAAACCATCCATGCATGAACTGAAAACTAATTGTTCTGTGTAGTCTGTCTTTTTTTTTGTCTGTCTGCAATGTCACAAGTCATGCACAACTCTTTAGGTTCTTATTTTGATACTTATCACAAGCACAGCACTGGTTGGTATGGTCCTTTGTCTCACTGCCCATATTGAGCCCGTAAAGTACTTCACTTGCCTTCTTCAGATTAGACGTAATTATTTGATATCTCGAATGAATGTGCTTCAGCATTTCTTTGCTCGTCACTTCAGGGATAGTGTCATTATCACTTTAGGGATAATGACACTAATCTCTTCGAATGAGATGCCATCTTGGGCAATCGCTTCATCTCTGCAGGCCCAACACATTCCTACAGTGACAGCTGTGTACTTAATGGTTTCAGGCCGCTCCAGCATCGCTACTTCTTGCAGTATTTGGATTAGTATCTTACTACATAGTTTGCTTGATCTGAACCAGATGTATATCAGAATCAGAGGGCAGAATCCTACAGGAGCCTTTATGCTGTGAAAGGATTACGGCTGCGGTGCCACTACGTTAACAGTGAAGGGCAACTCTGGGCTGCCAGCATTTGTCCAGGTGTACAGCCAGAGTTCCAAAGTGGTGCAAGTGGCCATGATATCTCAGTCAGTGGTCAGTTGTCCCATATGTGGTGAATGATAGGATCAAGCTAGCATTGGGTGAGAGTCATTGGCCTTAAAACATTAACTGTGTTTTGCTCTCCCCAGATGCTGCCAGACCTGCTGAGGTTTTCCAGCAGTTTCGGTTTTTAATTTAAGTCTTCAGCATCTGCAGTATTTTGTTTTTAGTTGAGTGTTTAATCTTTCTTGCAGTTGCTTTGCATCAGATAGGAACAGTTACAGAAAGACGCTTTGAAGTAGCTTGCGACAAGAGATTAACAACACTTCTTCTCTTTCAAACAAAAACTAACCAAAATGCTCACAAGCAAAGACAATATAAATAATAAAATAACCAAACAACCTTTCTCAATCTGAGTGCAGCATTCTTTACCATGCATTAATGTTCTGGCTGCAAAATGCTGCTGCATGAGGGTTGCTCCAAGTCTTCTTTTTCTGGCATCACTCTGCAGTGACTTCACTATTGACCATTGCAATCATTGTCATCACTAATTATTTGATGACAGTGAAAACTGCTTCTTGTTCTGTGCTCCATACCACTGAATATCCTTTGCAGCCAGCTTGCATAAAGATTTATATGCAGATAGCAAATTGATCAAGAATTTGGCCAGATAGTTCACAAATCATCAATTCCCCTTCTCATTTATTGTTGCTGTATTTTTGCTCCAGACATGCCTTAGAAGGATCAGGATAAATCGCTGTTAGCCACAATGATTGACCTATGTATTTGACATCAATCGACTTCAGTTCCAGTTCTTTCTTGTTCAGCTTCAGCTCCATATGACAAGCTCTCTTTGGGCAGTCTCATCAGATTCTGACCACGATCTGTCATGGCTTCTTCCATTGTATTTCGATATCCACAGACCTGCAGCTTCCAATCCTGGAAAATCATTGACTATCTCATGCTGTCTGCATTGATTTTCTTCTGGAGTGGCAGAAATGCCAAACGGCAGTTGTAACCATCAGTGCGTGCAAACCCTTATTCTGAGATTACACTCTCTGGTCACAGCTTCTCCCACAAAGAGAGGCAACTTCCCAGCATTTACACTGTGAAGCCCCTTAAGAATCTTACATGTTTCAATAAGCTTTTTGCTCAATCTTCTGAAACCTGAGTACGGGCCCAACCTACTGAACGTTTCCTCATAAGAAATATGCTACACTGTTGCTGAACCAGTCTGTTTTTTATGATTACTCCCATATTTTCAAGATTCTCCTTCTTGTCTTTCAGGCTGGACTTGAGGGCAGCTGGAATTCTCCTTAAATGGTCCAGAGTTGCTTTCACACTTTCATTTACCTCAAGATGAAGCAGGTGGCACGGTGGCTCAATGGGTAGCACTGCTGACTCAAAGCACCAGGGACCTGGGTTCAATTCCACCCTCGGGCAACTGTCTGTGTGGAGTTTGCATGTTCATTTTACTCCGGATGCTCCGGTTTCCTCCCATAGTCCAAAGATATGTAGGTTAGGTGGATTGGCCATGCTAAATTGTCCCATAGTGTGCAGGCTAAGTGGGTAAGCCATGGGAAATGCAGGGTTACAGGGATGGGGTGGATCTAGGTGGGATGCCCTTCACAGCGTTGCTGTGGACTCTATGGGCCAAATGGCCTGGTTCTACACTTTAGGGCTTCTATGACGTTGACCTGGAAGACACTCAAGACCTGTAAGAACAAGTTTTTAATTTGTCAATGCCTTGGCACCATGAAAAATACTGGAAATTTCCTTCCAATTATGTAGTGTTAGGAGTCCAAGCTGTTGACTTGTTTTAGCTAGATGAGTGGATTTTGCCAAGGATCCATTATCTGGAAGTGCAGATCTTCTTTCTTCCAATTGCATTAGACTTTCAGCTCAGTTTGCCCTCTTAGGGTAAATATTGTTTCTTTGGATGGCCTCAACATTTACCTTCACAATTTCATTGTCTTGAGCAACTTTACATGCCCGTGAAATGCATGATATTGCATGTAACACTGATGTTTATCAGACATTTCACATTAACTTGATATTTTCCTGCAGTCACAAACCATTTTTTTTTAAACTTTGAGATTTGTTGGCACCTACCTGTTCTAGTGTGCAGAGTGATTTGTCAGAATCAACATCTGATGTCTCACCAGCGACTGTATTAATATGCTCCTCTTCTTTGTGGTGAAACACTTGTATGCAAAATGATTTCACTTCTTGCTGTTAGAAAACTGTTTTATCTCATGCTGGACATATTTCCTTCTGTAATATTTATATCCAGTACTCTGGCCTTGATCTTTCTGCTGGTCCTTTGATAAATAGCTCTTCTTTTTCTCCACTGTCTTGCACTTTGAAAGCCTGAACCGCCTCATAGCATAGTGCAAAGCTTTGTCAGTTCTCCCATCAGTGCTCTTCAGCTGATGATTAACCACCTAAGAGTTTCTGTACTTGCCAATAGTTTTCTTGATAGCAAGTTTATTTTCCCTCAGCAGTTGAGCAAACATACAGGGATTTCTTACTCTTAGGACAATGGATGAGATTATCTCACTCAGATTCAAAATCCAGTCACACACCTCACCATAGCTCCATACAGATCAATATTTTCTGGAGCTGAACATGACCTTTTATAAATAACATTAAGAGCGGGTTCAAAGGGGGTCTTCAAGGCCTCCAACATTTTACATGACTGGCTTTTCTGCAAATGAGCTCTAGGATGGCACTCCTTGCCCAGCACCAAGAACAGAGTTGTTACTCTTCATTTGTTCTGATTCCTTAACTCTGTGGCAATTTGATAGACTGGATCCAGTACTGGACTACAGCCTCAACTAGGAGCCAATAACCTGTAGAATTAATTCTGACTGTTTTCTGCAATTTACCTCTTTTAAGGTAATAAATATTTACTTAATGGCAGCTGCACACTCCTGATACTTCATGTAGTGGATAATTTTTTTTACCAAAGAAAATCTTAAATGACACATCACAGTAAGTCAGAGTAGAGGAAAGGTTGCAGTGCACAGAGGCATTTCTCCAAACAGGTAATTCCAGGCTTCCACTGTTTCAAGTGAAGAAATACCTTTGGAAAGCCAGAAAGGAAATAAGAGGTCCAGTAGTGTTTGCCTTGCTACCTGTTGTGCTAATGCTTTTCAAAGCTAGACTTTATTCTCAGGATAAATAAAATTCAGGTGAAAGAGAAACAAACATTCTGAGCTTTAGAAATGTGAAGAAATATAGCACATAAAAGGACTTTTGGGATAGTTACCACTGTTTTGGCCTAGAATGATCAGGATTGATTTCTCGGCATTTTAAAATTTGTTAAATTAAGTGTGTAACATCGAATTGTGTTGGTGTACCCTTGGATGCCATTGTCTGTGTTCATGGCATCTGTCACAGCATTTTGTTGTATACAAGTCAAATTTGATTTAATCCAATTCTCCTATAAGACAGCAACAAATAAATACCACAGATAAAACTCTCATCTTATGTACTCCCTGTCTACAGTGAATGACATTCTGCCAGCATTGCAATTTATGCCATTTCTCCTTAAAACTTGGCATTGCTCAACTCAAATCCAACTGAACTAATTCTTTCAGCACACTCTGACAACAAGGGCCTTACAGATGATTTACGTCTTTGCGGTAGTAATGACACAAACCTAACATTTTATCAGGAGCAAAATAATTTAGGTCAAAGGGACACAAACATCATCAAGACGTTGAGAGAAGCATTTGGGACTTACCGCTTAGTACACTGACTATGCGTGCGTAGATGTGCATCTCTCAATCGGTAAATTCCAAAGCAAAGCATGTTGTATGTTTTTAAGGCCTTGCAGAACAGGTCTCCATAACAGCCACCATCCTGGGGCAAAAGAGAAAGCAGAAGAGATTATATCTGCATGTCTTAGTTTTCAGAGGCTATTCTTGAGCAATACCACTGTCACCACCACCCAACCATTTCCTCAATTCAAAATGTAATTTGGAAAAATGAATTGCAGCAAATGAGATACATAGACATTTGCTTTATAAAATGGATGTTAATAACTAAAATAAAAAGTTTATGTGACAAAGCGGATTCAACAAAGTTCAATCATCTACAAGTAACACAAGTGTGGGAATGTCTGTGCCAGTTGTGTAATGTTACAATTCTGCCAGATGTGGAGAAACTAATCACATGCACTATTGAGCAGCATCACAATGAGAGATGTTTCCTTTATTACTTTGCTAACCACAAAATACACAACCACTTCTAACAGCCACCATTCCTAGCTTCAAGCAAATAACTCACTTCAAGCAACACAGATTGTAAATGCATTTACATTGCACATCACAAACTCTGACGCTGTGCAAGTCAAGTGTTACTTCAAAGCATCCCGGAGAGTTGGCTTCAAATTATTTTCATTTTGCAGCATGTGCAATGATTTTCAGAAAAATTCTGACAACTTTGGCCAAGAGTTTGGTCACAGTCTGCGGGCAAATTGCTCAAAACAGTGTTGATTTAGCAAATAAATTTGATTTTGCTCAATTTCTGCTCAAGTTCATTTGCATAGGGTCAAACTAAAAATCTTTAGGGATAGGTAATATTTCAGGATGCATTTGCGATTTAGCAAATATTTCAATATATTTAAAAATTGTGTCCTGATGCAGTTTTATTCATCCAGTGCAGAAAGTATACTTATCATTAAAAATAATCAGTATGTCTAGTTCACTCAGAGGTAGTGGGAACTGCCGAAGCTGGAGTCTGAGATAACAAGGTGTAGAGCTGGATGAACACAGCAGGCCAGGCAGCATCAGAGGAGCAGGAAAGCTGACGTTTCAGGTCTGGACCCTTCTG